TTTTCAAATCACGGCCGATCGTCTCAAATTTCATACCAGAGACTATTTTTGGCTATGAGCCAGAGTGAATTTCAAGAAAAATGCTCACAAACCTATTTGTGGAGCTGTATATGCGAGAACGTTCTCAATAGTGTTTTGTGCTACTACATTGTTTACTTGATTTTCATTGATGAGCGAACCTTCTCTGCCAAGATTTCTGGAAAATATAACCCATTTGAATTTAGCCTTGACATCATTAGGCAAAAAGACCACCTCAAAATAGTACTTCTGCCCTCAAGTGTCCGCCAATAAGCGAAAGGACCTTGAATGACATTTCCATAGAAGTCGGTTTCGCCAGCGAAAAGATTCGAGAACAGCATCGAATCTCTAGGATCAGGCAGGTAACCATCCATGACGCTGTCCCAATAGGGAATTGCAACCGATGGGTCCACCATTCGAAGAGCAATCTCAAATCTAAACAAGTCCCCTAAGTTAAAATCAAAGTTCATTGAAATAAGCCTAATTTTCTCAAAGTCGTCTCATTCACTTCTTAAAAAAAACTTCTTGAACTTTTCAAGGTTCAAACCTTTGATACCATAATCTTCGAAAAAACGCTCAACCAGTTCTCTGTCTTTTGATGGTTCAAGGAGTTCAAAAAAAGACCCTTAAGATGCTACTGGAAAGGAAGATCCAATTAGTTTTTTTTTCTTTTGAGAATTGTTAGAGATTCTGTAACCTTGAAACTATTCCATTTCAACGCTAAAAAGAACCTGTCTGTGGCGCATAATTTTTGAAAGAGCCTTTAAATTCTTGTTAGAAGGTAAAGCTTTTAAAGTGAACGAAATTCTGAAATATATATTTAACGGAGTTACCAGAGCCTTGCTAAGACAAAAGTAAGGAATAAGAAGTGGATTTTAGGGATGAATTATCCTACCTTTTCAGGAACTCTCTGTGCCAAGGAAGGAAACCGGGTCCAGAATGAGCGCCCGATCCAGTGCCGACCTGCAAGTCACACCTTTCACTTAAAATCTCACGTTGTCCATCCAAGACGTCAAAATAACGTCATCAAACTTGTCTTGCGCTGTCCTTGCACTCTTTGCACCGGAACAACCTACCTCGAAGTGAATTCTGCCAAGCCTATCGTACTCTCCGTTCAACTTTAGCGTCGTCAACGCATTATGCCATCTATTTCTTTCATCCTCTGTTAACATTCGATATTCTTTACGATATGCCATTTGAAGTATAGCACCATTCGAGAGTACGCAATGCCCTCCTTGCATTCGTCCCTGAACCGTAGACAGCTAGTTCAAGCATGCCAAGGACATCTAAACGCGATAAGTCTAACGGCTCACCGCAAAGAATGGACAGAGGCAGGCGAGAGTCATACAATCGTAAGGGTGATAGGCTATCTGTCCTCGGGCGTTTGGAGGTACGGGAATAGGCATAAGCCAATCGGGAGGACCTCGTGGTCTTGGTGGTCCCTGTGGTCGAGTTGCTTGCCTCCTATTCTG